AGCCACACACAAAAACAAGAAGTTGAAGAAGCTGAAGTATAAAAGTGTTATTTGACAATAATAAATATAAATAACAGTATGCAAGAACATAGAAATTAAACATCTACCTGATTCATGCATTGAAGAAAATGTGGGGGTTGGAGAGATGGCTCAGAGGTTAAGAGCATTGGCTGCTCTTCCAGAGGTGCTGAGTTCAATTCCCAGCAATCACATGGTGGCTCACAACCATCTGTAATGAGAGCTTGTGCTCTCTTCTGGTGTGCAAGGATATATGCAGGCAGAACACTATATACATAATAAATACATCTTTAAAAAAAAAGAAAAGAAAATGTGTCAATATAAATAAAAAGGCATGCACACATATTAAAGAGCAAACTCCCATGCAACAAATCTAGGAGGATCAGAATTTAGTTTATAACTGTGGTTGTGGTTTAGTGTACAGATATACTTTAAGAGACAGAGGATAAGCCAGGCATGGTGGCACATGCCTTTAGTCCTAGCACTCTAGAAGCAGACACAAGTGAATCTCTGTAAGTTTGAGGCCAGCTTGGTCTAAATAGCAAGTTCCAGGACAGCCATGACTATGCAAGAAATCCTGTCTCAAAAAAACCCTATAAATAGATAGAGACGGTAGAGAAGGCTAATCATGATAAAGTTGTTGTGTATCTTCACTGTGAATCAAATAGGACCATACACCCTTGTCAAGATTTGCAAGACTCCCAAAAGAATGAATTTTACTTTAAGTAATACTTTACTGAAAATGTGCATCTGTGTGAAGAGTATTAATTAGAAGATCAGTTTTATTTTGTGATTCCAATTTGGTAGTATAAAACTAAATTTAAAATAAGCTAATGTATAGTCAAATGGATATGTGCATATATGTGCATTTCTTTTTTCTTTCTCTCCATTTTTATTTAAATTAGAAGCAAGATTATTTTACAAGTCAATCCCAGTTCCCTCTGCCATATATGACAGTTTAGACTAAATGCAAGCTGAAGTTCATTTTTAGGGAGCAAGACAAAGGAATATAAGTCAAAAATATTTTACATTATCAGTGAAGAGTTTTGTTTGCTCCCCCCATCCCCACGTGCAATGATGAAGATGCAACCATATATGTTAGGATAAATCTTTCTGCCACCCGCTTGAGTTCTGCCAGCCACGTGGATGGCTAAAATAATATACAGAGACTTATATTAGGTGCAAATGCTGCTTGGCCAATGATTAGGATTTCATATCTGCTACCTCAGTCTTAATTATCATAAATCTATATATTGTATAAGACTTATCGAACATCTTCCATTGGCATCCTCATCCCAGGATCACATGGTGATTCTGGAGGAAGAGAGAAGGGGCCCACTTCCTTCTTCCCTTGTTTATGTATGAGGCTCCCTGCTATGTCATTGCCTGCCTGGATCATCACTTCTTTACTACATTTCCCAGAATCCTCCTTGACTCCTAGTCACACCTTACTTGCTGCCTCATTGGCCAAACAGTACTTTATTCAACAATCAATTAGATGAACATACACAGAAGTGCATTCGCCATCACATATATAGGGCATTTTTAACTGCACATAAAAATTCCCTCACAATCCATTAGAAATCAGTATGTATATGGATGGTATTCTGATGAGCTGAGGAATACTGAGGAAAATAAAGATGGTATTCAGTGTACATTTAACATATTTTGTTTTGTTCTATCAAAAATGATCAGATAGTTGGGAAAAGTAGTTGGCTCCATACCGTATCTGATGTAAAATGCAAAAAAAATTAAATAGGTAAGTAAAATTATGTCCTATAGATAACTAAAAATTCAAATAGATATAATTTATGTTCCTTCCAAGTTATAACTCATTAAGTGAAATGGTTATGGTCTCATAAAGAATAATATGTCTGGGGCTCAGCAGTTAAGAGCACCGGCTGCTACGATAGAGAACCTGGATTTGGTTGCCACCACACATATCAGGTGGCTCACAAACACAGGTAATTCCAGTTCAAGGGGATCCAAACCCTCTTTTAACATCTGCAGGCAAGATGGTGATGGGAATACATAACGTTTTTCAGAAACAAAAAGAGAATTTCTAACTATTTCAGTTTCTTTCAACCCCATCCAAGGGAAGTAGGGCCATGTGTCTCTGTGGCCTTTGTCCTATCTTAGTGGATCTTGACAGTCTAACCTGAATTCCAAGTGGACAATCTGTCTTTTTGTCCTCTTTACTTGAGGCTCTCCACTCACTTGGTAGAAGGATCATGAGAATCCTATCAGCCTTAGCCACCTCCAAGTCCTATGACAGGCCCTTATCTTATCACCAGCTCAATGGCAGGGTTCCATAATAAAAGGATAATATTCTGTTTGCTCCAGTGGCTGCATTCATGTCACATGTATCCCATTAAATATCTTTTCCCTTAATATCTCTCCCCCCATTATGGTTCCCATGATGATGAGATGCTCTCCCTCTCTCTGTCTCTGTTCCTCCCTCTTCTTACATCTGTGTTTACCACATGAGAAAAAAATACAAGATTTGGTTTTGTGAGACTGTTTTATAAGCAGTAAAAATAATGATTTCTAGCTCCATTCATTTTCCTGAAAATGTTAATTTTATGGAGAGCAAAAAAAAAGGTTCTGGAATTCTTCCTTAATTTAGTAGAGAAGCTCTGAAATAAGAGAAAGGGGTGCTATCATAATCTTCTCAGGCTTGACACAAAGGTCTGTGTGTGAACCAAAAGATCTTCATAGAGCAATGTGACTTCTAAAACTCAAATGATTGGACTGTGACAGGAAACATCAACACCACAGATATTTTTGCTTTTATTAGACAGATTGTTCCCATCTGAAGCCATCTCAGATGGATCCTCAAGTAAATATCCAAGATTCCCTAACAAAAGACTATAGGAGCTCCATTCAAGTGAGACTTTGGGGCCTCACATTAAAACAGCACTAATAATGACAGAACTGGGGTAGGTAGGGTATGGGTGAAATTCAGAAATAGAGTGCATGGTTAAAACTGCCAATTACGTAATAGTAACCCTCTGCATGAGTATGCCAGTTGTGCAGCTTGGTCTCTTAGTAAGGCTTCCAACAGTGAGAGAAGGAACTCTTCCTGGTGCTTAGCTGGCTTTTGGTAACCTTCTCCCCATGCTGGATTACCTGACCTGCCTCAATGTAAGGGGAGGAGCTTGGTCCTACCTCAACTTGATGTGCCATGCTTTGTGCAAGCCCATGGGAGACCTGTCCCTTTCTCAGTGGAGAGGGAGGAGGAGTGGATGGGAAGAAGATAGATGGGAAAGGGATGGGAAGAGAGGAGTGAGTGGAAACTGGTTGGTATATAAAATAAATGAAAAATGTTATTTAAATTAAAAATCAAAACAAACTGTGAGCCTATACAAGTTAAAAAGTTTCTTGTATAATTTTGTTAAAATGAAGGTGTTTGCAATGACAGTTTATGCTGGAGAGGATGTAGAGAAAGGGGAATACTCCTCCACTGCTGGTGGGAGTGCCAACTCATACAGCCTCTTTGGAAATCAGTATGGTGTTTCCTTGGGAAAATAGGCATCAGTCTACCACAAGATCCAGCAATTCCACCCTTAGGCATGTACCCAAAAGAAGCACATTCATACAACAAGGACTTCTGTTTAAGGATGTTCATAGCAGCATTATTTGTAATAGCCAGAACCTGGAAGCAACCTAGATGCCCCTCAACTGAAGAATGGATGGAGAAAATGTAGTACATTTACACAATGGAGTATTACTCAGCAGAAGAAAAAACCAATGGAATCTTGACATTCACAGGAAAATGGATGGAACTAGAAGAAACCATTCTGAATGAGGTAACCCAGTCACAAAAAGACAAACATGGTATACACTCACTCATATATAGATTTTAGACATAGAGCAAAGGATTACCAGGCTACAATCCACACCACCAGAGAAGCTAGGAAACAAGGAGGAGTCTAAGAGAGACATACATGGTCCCTTGAATAAAGGGAAAGAGACAAGATCTCCAGAGCAATGAGAAGGGGAGAAGAGGAGGGGTAAGGTGGACATGAGGGAGCAGGAAGGTTGAGTTGGGGGGAAGAATAGAGGAGAGCAAGATAAGAGATACCATAATAGAGGGAGCCATTATAGGTTTAAAGAGAAATCAGGCACTAGGGA